GGAAAGTGGCCAATAAAGATGCAAAGAGATTCAGGAACTTAACAGACTAGTTAGTATAGCATCTTTTCCAGGTAAATCATTATAAAGGAATATAAAAGTTAACATCATTAAACATAAAGAAGGGCAGATCTTACTGAAAAAGGGCCAACAGATTCATTAAGGCTAACTCTTCTTTTACCTTGAGGCTTATTCAGGTTTTGGGGTTTTTTTTTTAGCATCACTAGAAAGGCCTGACAATTTACTCTTTGTCCTCATCTTCTTGGCTTTGTTTCAACCGCAGGCCATAATTCATGCAATTTTATCCTTCTGTTATCCATGCTGAGAAACATTAGCTTCTCATAAAATAGTAAAGACAGTCTGAACAATGATGTTGATGCCAGCAGTCTTACTAGTGCCACAGTAAGATCTGAATTATGCTAAGATTTGCTTCTGTGGAAAGTTTCTAAAAGTTTCTAGATTGAAATAGTATAACAAGTTAAAGGAAATCATTTACTGAACTTTGTGACCCTAATCTTCAGATCTTCACCGGGTTGCTAACTGACTACCAGCCATAATTTAAATTGTTGGTACAAACTTTTAAAATCTCAAACAATGTAGGGCAGTGATGGCGAATCTTTTAGAGACCGAGTGCCCAAAAACTGGCCCCACCCCCACTCCACCTCCCTGCTCCGCCCCTGCTCTGTCCCCCATCCCCCACCCCACCTGCCCACAGGACCACTCACCGCCTCCAGGGCCCGCTGCAGATCGCCCAGGCAGCCCAGCAGCGCTATAGCAACCACACCCTCTGCCCATGCCCTGGAGCATCAACTGCATGATGGGGTGTGAGGGTAGAGTCTTGTCTACGCTGCCTGGCTGCCATGTCCTTGGCTACGCTGCTCCGTGTGGGCCACGCTCGAGGGCGACTCTCCTTCAGGGGGGCTGGTGGAGAGGAGGGGGTCGCGGGGGGGCAACACTGAGGCAACAGCACGTGTGCCCACAGAGAAGGCTCCGAGTGCCACCTCTGGCACCTGTGCCATTGGTTCGCCACCACTGATGTAGGGTTTAGCTATCGAGAATATTGTCTTTCCTGAATGAACCTCTTAATATTTGTAGGCAAGACCCTTTTCATGTTGTCTAATGCTTTCAAAACCTTGTCTTTCTGGCATGTGACTTATCCTGCACGCTGCTTCCAGACTATGCAATGGTCCTTATGGAACTTCTTTAGCCTCCGCTTTCCTAATATTTGTGAAATCTGCACATAGGCTAAATTTAGTTGACAACTGAATTAGTCAGTTGATTATCTAATTAATTTTAATTATTATATAATAATTAATAATATATTATAATGTTAACATATGTTTCTAACTTTTTGTATTGTTTGGGGTATTTTATTTTGTCAGTCAATGAAAAGCAAGGTGTAAATCATCCAAGTAAGTAAGTATTTCAGTTTCAACAAACAAGTGAATAAGACAACTTTTAGATTATTTTGAGAAACACCCTTTTTTCAGCAAAGTTAGCAATCTTTGGATAAGAGAAGTAGTCTTGTTACTGGTGAGTTTTAGAACAGGAAGCAGGGATCCATTTTAAAAATAAATAATAAATTGTTACAATGAAAGGGCATAAACAATGGGGTCCCCCAAGGACCTATATCAGGAAAAGTTTTCTCAAATGATCTGAAGTAAGAGATAAACACTAACAGAACCAAGCATGCTGATGACATCAAATTCTTTAGAGTGGATGAAATAAAAACTATAACAAGAGCTTTAATTTAACTTTCCTACATTGAGAAAGAACCATTAAAATGGCTTGAGAATGTAATGTAAGCACCCTATGAACATATAGAGCGTAAAAGAGGTAAGGGCACAAACAAAATACTGTATACAAGTCGAGTTATACCTCAGATGAGAATACTGAAGACCTGAGAAAAAGCGGATACAAAATCGATAACCCTAAAAATACAATGATAGTTCAATGTTCTGTAAGAAAAAAATGAAATATTTGTTGAGTGGTTACCACAAAATATAACAAATAGGAGGGAAAAGATGTTTAAAATTAAACATGGTATGGAAAAAAGTAAATAGGCTATTTCTATAATAGGAACATCTGGAGTCACATGGTAAAGCTGAATGTGAAATTCAGATCAAAATATTTGCTAATGTCCATAAATAGACTAGAAAATAGACTGATTTATGGGCTATTAAAGACTGCTATTTCACAATAGCTACATTTAGTATGCCTCTCAGTGTCTCTCAATATCAGTTGTTGAGCAATACTAGTCCTCAATTTACAACAGTTTATTTAATGACCGTTCAAAGTTATAATGTCACTGAAAAAGTGACATCACCGTTTTTCCACACTTATGACCATTGCAGCATCTCCATGATCACGTGATTAAGATTTGGATCCTTGGCAACTGTTCCATATTTATGATATTTCAAGTGTCTTGCAACCTTCTGACAAGCAAAACCAATGGGGAAGCCAGATTCACTTAACAACTGTGTTACTACCTTAAGAACTGAAAGTGATTCACTTAACAAATGTGGCAAGAAAAAGCGTAAAATGGGGCAAAATTCACTTAACAACTGTCTGACTTAGCAAGATAAATTTTGGGCTCAGTTGTGGTTGCAAGTCAAGGACTTCCTGTATAGGCTGGAAGTTGTAACTGAACTCTTGTCCAGATTTTGGGCTTTCTATAGGTATGTGGATGATTGCTAAGAATAGACCATTGTTGTACATAAGTATTGGTTTGATTCAGCATGAATCTTATATTAATATAGATTTATGGGAAACCTATGAACAAGCATTAGCACCTAGGATTTTAATCCAATAGACTCAATAGAACTACCAAGATGTAAATAAGAATATTTTTTCTCTTTCTAATAAGGTACTATATTAATAGCAATATTTAACCCAGATAGTATAATTTATACAAATATCAATAAAAACATGGAAAGTTCACCCATCTTATTATAATTAATTCATCAACACAATAATAGCTTCACTTAATAGAACGGATGATAGATGCTGAATGCAATGTGGGAGAAAAAAGACAACCAGAGTTATTGTGACTGGAATATGCAGATCCTAAATATGAAATATGAAAATTCTGCTCATAGGCTCTCTTAATAAACCGTAAGAGAATCTAAACTATCCTACTGAAGACCATGCATAGTTAGCAATTGCCATTATACAAACTACTGTTCTGCAAATCTTTATTAACAGTAGGGGGAAAAAAAGAACAAGAATGTTGGGATAAAGAATCCTATTTTGGAGTCACCTCTCTCTAACAAAGGTTTCCATGCTTACCATGACTTGAATCTCACCTTTAATTCATTCTGAAAAAACAATTAGCATTTCTGCATTCTTGAGGGATGAATACAAATACTGTGCACTTTTCATTTTTGTTGCCAGAAAAGCAGGCAAGCACAAAAAAATTAACTTCTTTTCAAGTTTCTGGATCTCTGTCTATATATCAATACCCAGAAATAAAGGTACTGAATTCAATGTGATCAACTGGGTTGAAATAAGCATGAATAGAATGTCAATTTAAACAATTTGGAGGGCTGTAACGAATGAATACACTACCAAACATCAGTTCCTGTGCACAAGATTACCAGAAATAAACACTTCCACCTTCTCCTTTTTTTTCTACTATTAAAAACAATCATTGTTGAATCTGTGTGTAAGAATTTCAAACAGCTAGAGAAATTCACCCTCCTTTTAAACTCTTATGACCTAGATCCTTCACTTAACAAAGCAGAAAGCTTTTCCTTGTAACTCTTTTATCCACCCTCTCCCATTTCTTTTTCTTCCTCTCACTGTCTTTCCTTTTAAAGTCAAACTAAAGAAAAACTTTTTGTGGAGTAAAATTCCAGGAATCAGACAGGGGGTCTTGTGTTTCATTGCAAAAATTGTCATAGAAAGAAAGGAAGGAAGCTCTATCCAAGTATCTTCCTGCTTGCTGTCCCAGTATAAAACTTTTCCATATCATATCATCTGCCCTTAACCAAATAAATGCATCCAGAAAATTTAATCCTAAAATCGTTTACCTCGCTGAGAATTTCAATAAACTTAGTGGGATTTTCTGTTGGGCAACTGTAGGTGGGATCAGGCTCTTTGGAACTAGTGTTAAAATGCCTGCCCTGCCACATTTACCAGCTCCATTATGTGCATATACAGTATGCCTGTGCCTTGGCTACAGACACACACCATTCACTATATTAGTTGTATACTTACCTTGTTACAGGTACACCTGTCCCTAAATATCCTCAGTCTTTTTCTGACTTCCCACATGAAGCAACTACTGTACGCTTCCTTCTTGGACATACACCAACCTCTCCATTCAACCAAATCATCCTTTTTGTACCAAAGTTCTACTTTTTTCATGACCCCAAGCATCCTTCCTTCTATTTCCTGGCCCAAAAGCAGACAGGCAGGTCCAAATTCAGCCCTATCCTTCTCCAAACAGGCACCGACTTTGAATCACCACCACAAAAGATGCCTCCCTTTCTTCAATCAGCTGTCTTCAATCCCGCCAGAAGGGGGGGGGAAGGGCTGCAGCTCATTCCTTTCATGCTCTAATAAACTTACATATGTAAGCACACACAGAGACAGACACAAGCAAAACAAACTCTAATTTTAAAAAAGTATTCAATAAGTGCGGGGGTAGCTCTGCCAGCTTCTTCCCTTCTCTAGGTGAAAGAGTTGGTGTTTCTTTTACCAAAAAAAGGAGGGGAGCCTCTTATCTATATTCCTTCCATCTATTCTACAACTGCCCTATTTCTGTTCCTTTCATCGCCTCCAAAGGAGAGTACAAGCAGTTGCCTCCACCCCGTCTTGCAAGAGCTGCCTTCCCACCAACCCACTCAACCCCTCCCCTCCCAAAGAGCCAGACTTGCTTTCTTATCCCCAGTCCGGTGTCCTAACTTCCCCAGAAGCTGCTCCCCCTTTTTCACCCAGGGGTCCCCAAGACCTTTACCACCTCGCCGCTCCCGCTCCCCACAAAGCTGAGATCCACCTACCTGCACGTGCCCGGCCATAGGAATGTGGTGTATGGGTCCCCGCGTGATATTTGAGGGAGGGACGGGGAAGGGGGAGGAGGAGGAAAAAGAAAGAGGAGACCGTAATCTATTCGCGATATTGAATGGCCAGCTTCTTATAAATCGGATGTTGTTTAGGCTGGGAGGAAAAGAGTGTTGTATCTGGACGAGGGGAGCGCTTATTTCATCCCCGCTCATTGGCAGCTCCTCCGCCTTCCTCCTCTTCCTCCTCCTCCTCCTTCTCACCCCTCCCTCCCGCGTGTGTTTGTGTGCGTGTTCGCCGGCAGCTCCCCGCCTCCTTTCTCGGCGATATTATTAAACGCTGGGTGAGACACCGGAGAGAGAGCCCGTATCAGCTACCGGAAATCGAAGCCCTGGCCATAAATATACCACAGGAAGTACCACATGCACTCCCCCCCCCATTGTTACTTGCTTAGCCAACGTTTGCCGCCACCTCCCACGGCCCCGACACATATATCACGCACACACACAAACACACACACACTCCGACGCATACATAGGGGAAGACGCGGTTGTGTGATCAACGGGTGTTCTCTGCCTCCTCAATCCTCAAAGATACTCGCGCGACCCGCAGTTAAGGCACGAAAAAGGCTCCCTCGCCACTATTAGACGGTCCTGGCGAGCCATTGCCAAACTCTCGTTAAGAAAAGGTTTCCCTGGTCCAATGAAGAGCAGAGGTGCGACCGCACCAGATAATGCCCGATAAGTACAATACAGCGTAATGCCACATCTATGATATAAATATCCCCCTGTAAAGGTATAACCGGCAATATGACTCGGAAGGAAGGAAGGAGAAAGAAAAAAGAAAGACAGAAAGGCCTTGGATAGGAAAGCAGGGAGGGTATTTCAAAGCTTTTAAAGAAATTCACTGGAGGAAAAAGTGCTGGAAAATGTGAGCCTAAAAGCCCATTTACAAGCGCTCACAACTGGCGTGTTCTTTAGACATCCTGCAGAGAAGGATGATTTTCAGTGTTAGAATGTCTTCAATCCCGATGGCTACTAGGGTCCCAGATTAAGATGCAGACACCTAATAAAGGTATTTAAATTGTTCACGCTACATTGAAAAAAGAGGCACTCTCAAAATAGTCACATCCCTCTGCAAGCAGCGCATAATATAATGAGGTGCCCTCAATGTCATTTTAATAAGCATCACTTTCACGCATACGGATATGTATGCGCGTTTCTGGGCGTTTTGTTAGCGACCTCAATCAAACACAGGATCCGCGTGTCTCTCCTTCAGATAGTCCCCCCACCCACGTCTCTCTCCGTTTACATTCTTCAACATTTGTTTCCTACGGTGTGCCTTTATTATTATTTCTCCTCTTCTTTTTGCTGCTTTCCCGTTTTCCCAAAGATAATTCATAACCAAGCAAAATATCATCTCAGCTATGCGCTGCGGTCACGGGTCTCAAGTGGCGTCGGGTTGGAGCTAAAAAAATAATAAAATTAGTAAGACGGTCACGGCGCAACCTTTCCTATTGTTTTGTGGCGAACGGACTCTGTCTCTTTTTCTCCTGCTTTTCCAGCCCAGCAAGGAAACGCAGAAAGCGGACGGGGGGGGGGCGAGAAAGATGGAGGAGTGGGAGGGAGGATAAGAATCTCTTATTCAGCGGCGAGGCAATAACAGCAACGTATTAAATACAATGCCAAGCAAATGTCCGCCTGTGGAAGAGCAGCTGGAAAGCTTTCCGGACCCTCGGAACCCCTAGCAAAAGGGGGATATTTTTGAATGCAGTATGAATATCCTCTGGTCACAAGAGATTTTTTTAAAAAAAAAAATTGTTCATGATTGAAAACTAGAAAAGTGGGACGGAGAGGGGGAGGGGGGATCTGGGGCAGTTTCCTCTAGTTATTTGTAGGGTGTAGATCAATGGTGGCGAACCTATGGCACGGGTGCCAGAGGCAGCACTCAGAGCCCTCTCTGTGGGCATGCGCACCGTCGCCCCAGTCCTAGGCCTTCAGGTGGGTTTTATAAAACCTTTTTGCTTCAGACCTCCCTTGCCATGTGCAAAAAAAAAAAAAAGTTTCAATCAATCAGTCAATTTCAACTTCTTGCGAGAAAAAAAAGATCTTGCAAAGTTGGAATTGATTGATTGAATTTTTTAGTCCCACCTAGTTACCACCGCAGCCATGCCCATCCAATGGGCCACACCCATCCAACACTCCACGGTGCATAAGTGGGGTTTGGGTTGCAGTTTGGGCGCTCGGTCTCTAAAAAGTTCGCCATCACTGGTGTAGCTCATCAGGAGAAATAGTGTTGCTGGTTGTTGAATAGCAATTGCAGAATATCCCTCTTTCGCTCAGACCACATGTTAAGGTGCCACTTGAAAAGAAAAGTGCAGTTTGACTCCTGGACTAAAAAATAAAAATAGGATCTAGGTCACCCAAAAGAGGAAGGACAAAAGATGACAGGCATTTCTACCAAAATTTGCAACTGCTGGGTTGATACATTAAAAAAAAAAAAAGACATGGATTCAAAATTTACATCTGCTGCTTTTCTATAGAGAGATAATTTTGAGAGCAATACAGGACATGTATGTAATAATGATTGCCACTAAACAATAAATCTTCAGAAGTTATGGGCGCTTCATCATGGGGCGGGGGGGGGGGTTTAAGAAGAGATTGGACAACTATTTGCCTGAAATGGTATAGGGGAGAGGGTCTTCAAACTTGGCTCTTTTATGACTTGTGGACTTGCAGAATTTCTCGGCCAGCATCCCTGGCTGAGGAATTCTGGGAGTTGAAGTCCACAAGTCATAAAAGGACCCTGGTATAGGGTCTCCTGCTTGAGCAGGGGCTTGAACTAGAAGACGTCCAAAATCCCTGCCAACTCTATTATTCTGTTACCTTCTCAGTTTACTATTCAGCTAGATTATCAGTGGCTTCTCTCCTTTTTCCTGGTTCTGTTTATCAGTCCTTCCCAAAGATATGTGGTCCCCTTTGTTGATCCCTCCTCTGCTTCTCTTGCCTTTGTTTCCATGCTCTGAAGTCACCTGGATTCCCTCCAAGGCAAAGTTGAATGGATTTTACACACTTTGATGATGTCTTTGGAAGTGTTGGACTTCAGGGAAAAAATCCATATTTTAACTATGGCATACTTAAGACTATATTAAGGCCACTTCAGATATCATCCACTCAGAGGCTATTTTTGATAAAGAAAGAAAATATAAAATGCAATCAAGCCAAATTTCAGGATGTCAGAGATATTTGAGGCTGTTTGATTTTGAAACCCTTATTTTTTTTAAAAAAAAATATCCTATTTAAGATAAATAAGGAAATAAAAAATGCTATCAGTATGTCACTTCTCTGAAAGTGACTTTCCTCCTTTTTTAATAAATCCAAGTCCTATCATTAAGTGGCAATATGATGAGGTGATTATTTACACTATTGTATTTTTATTAGATGAAGAAAGGTGCTTGTGAATTTTTTTCTTGTATCAAAATACCAAAATACCAAAACTTTGGCTACTTGGCCTAGAGTCTAGACTAAATGGGAGTATCATTTACTGTTCCTTTGTAGGCAGGGGAATATCTTTGTCTTAGACTCTAAACTTTCACCCCCTTACACCTCTGTCCTAGTATTACATTTCTTTGTGAATAACTTGATTCACAATCAAAGCTCAAGAAACCCGCTGGCTGATTTGTTCAGTAAGCATAACAAAGGTAGTCCAAATTCATGGACTGTCTCAAATATAGAGAGTTTAGTCAAGCTAGTACCAAAATTTTAAAATTAGAAACATCTGGAAATCTTTCCCATTACTTAAATTTTGAGAAGACTGAAAGCAGGGCCTTTGCCCTTTTTTCAAATAGACACTAAATATTCTCTCCATCTTTGTGGATCCATTGATATTGGTTTTGATTCCGAACAGAAATTGTTTAGAAGATGCAATGTTGGAAAGCCGTTCTTGTGAAACTGGATTTAAACAATTCTCCCTTGCTGTCTGAAAAAGGTTGTATTGTGAGTCCTTAACATAACATCACCACTAAAATCCCAAAGCCCAGCAGTCCATCTTGCTTTGATACTTCGAGATAGAGGTCTTGAAATACAGTATTATTAATCAAAAGACATTGCAGAGATATTCCTCTTTTTCTTTGTTCTCTTTGGAAAGAGCAGAAATGTAATAGACAGTAGAAAGGGGCAAAAATAATTAGAAATGGAAGTTCATATCATATGGATTTCACCTAAAATACTGGACATAAGGCACTGCAATTGCACAATAGAAGCCTTATGTACCCAAGTTATTTCTATCCTTGGAAGCAAAGAGTAGGACATGTAATCGCTATTCTGGCTATAAGAATATTTGTCTAGAGGCTACTTTCTGTACTTAAGCAAAGGACAAAGGTCTTTTACACACACAAATACACACACACACACACACACACACAAACCCCTTCATTTTTAAGTGATTTACAGATTGGATAATAAGCTCTATTTTAATAGTCTTCTAGACAAAATACCTCCTTTCTCTCAAAGATCTTCTCTACAAAAACTCATGCAGGCCAAAACATCTCATCACAGGGTGGGCCAAGCAGTATATAACAAGCATGGGAGCACAGCAGCCATGGACGAAAAAAACTGGCCTTCCTTTGCCATGGCACTGAGGAAAATCTTAGTAAGAATTTGTGAGTAAATCCCAATTTTTCTACCTTAAATAAAATTAATGAGTTTATAGAATTATTCTAGGTGGAAGAATAAAATACTTTATGATCCTATAAATAATTTTATTTATTTGTTATCTGACCTTTATTATTTTTACAAATAAGTCAAGGCAGTGAATAACCACAATACTCCTTCCTCTTCCTATTTTCTTCACAATGACAACTCTGTGAGGTGGATTGGACTGAGAAAGAGGGACTGGCCCGAGATCACCCAGCTGGCTTTCATAGCTAAGGCAGGACTTGAACTCAATTCTAGCCTGGTGCCTTAGCCACTAGATCAAACTGGCGGCCCTGCCTTTAGGTAGACAAAAGTATTTTCAAACCTAGTTCTAGAGATCAGCAGGAATAAGGTTACGAGTTAGGTCAAAAGCAAGGAAGATACTGATTATTAAAAAGGAGGGCCAGTGGAGGGAAAAGGAAGACAATTGAAATTTCTTGTCACTCGTGATAAAAAATATAACAGCAGGCTATACTTTTTGTAGGCTTATATACATATGAACTTACTTTTCCAGCATCAGAAAAACTAGTTTCTCAATCGCAATATTAAGGTGACCAACCGTCCTCCTTTAGGGAGGACAGTCCTGCTTTTGTGAGTTCTGTCCTCCCTCGAAAAGTGTCCTCCTTCATGTCC